TATATATATATATATATATATATATAAGCTACCTTGGTTGTGTCTCTCACTTGCTCTCAACATAAGAATTGAGAGAATAGAATATTATTAGTATTATTATCGGACTGCGCTCACAAGCAAACAAATTCCAGCCTTTTCTTCCAAGCGATTCCCCTCAGGTTTCTCTCTCTCTTAGTCTAATTCTATCTATATTCAAAGCGTGCTTTGGATTTTGCTTTTCCTATTTGATCTCGGTCTGATTTCTGATTCCATCATTTATCCAAGACGAAACGACTTCGGGGATTAAGTATAAAATTATATCCCTCAATTTATAAATATTTTTTCGATTTAATACGATTGCTTCGAATTTCAGTTGTTTTCTTCACCTTCGTCTTGAAAAGTTGGTCTTTAACGTAAGGCAGCTTATTCTTTACAAGAAACAAGAACAAATTTTTAATATTTTCTAGTATTATTATATATATATTGGCGAATATCTATTACAATATAATATAATATATTCAAAAGGAACTTATTCCATTTTCTGCAATCATTACTTTACCTAGCAATGGCAGACGGACACCGGACCGATAAAAATATTGAGATATGGAAGATCAAGAAGCTGATTAAAGCACTTGACGCTGCTAGAGGCAATGGAACCAGCATGATATCTCTCATAATGCCTCCACGCGATCAAGTATCTAGGGTTACGAAGATGTTGGGCGATGAATTTGGAACTGCTTCAAATATCAAAAGCAGAGTCAACCGTCAATCTGTGTTGGGTGCAATCACTTCTGCTCAGCAGAGGCTCAAACTTTATAGTAAGGTTCCTCCCAATGGACTTGTGCTCTACACAGGAACAATTGTGACTGAAGATGGGAAGGAGAAGAAAGTCACAATTGATTTTGAGCCTTTCAAGCCTATAAATGCATCGCTCTATCTCTGTGACAACAAGTTTCACACAGAAGCACTGAATGAACTTTTGGAATCAGATGATAAGTTTGGTTTTATTGTAATGGATGGTAATGGGACTCTTTTTGGAACATTAAGTGGTAATACCAGAGAGGTTCTTCATAAGTTCAGTGTTGATCTTCCAAAGAAGCATGGGAGAGGAGGACAATCAGCTCTTCGTTTTGCTCGACTTCGAATGGAAAAGCGGCACAACTATGTGAGGAAGACGGCTGAACTTGCCACTCAGTTTTTTATCAATCCTGCCACCAGCCAGCCTAATGTTGCTGGATTAGTACTGGCTGGATCAGCTGATTTCAAAACTGAGTTGAGTCAATCAGATATGTTTGATCAGCGGCTTCAGGCTAAGATTCTGAATGTGGTTGATGTGTCCTATGGAGGAGAGAATGGTTTTAACCAGGCAATTATGCTTTCATCAGAAATCCTGTCGAATGTGAAATTCATACAGGAGAAGCGCTTACTAGGAAAATACTTTGAGGAAATCAGTCAAGATACAGGGAAATATGTATTCGGTGTCGATGACACATTGAAGGCTTTGGAGATGGGAGCTGTTGAGATCCTTATTGTGTGGGAAAATTTGGACATCAACAGGTATGTGCTGAAGAACAGCAGTACTAGTGAAATTGTCATAAAACATTTGAACAAGGAGCAGGAAGATAATCAGAGCAACTTCCATGATTCAGCCAGCTCTGCTGATTTGGAGGTTCACGAGAAGATGCCACTTTTAGAGTGGTTAGCTGATGAATACAGGCGGTTTGGTTGTAATCTTGAGTTTGTTACCAACAAATCAGAGGAGGGTTCTCAGTTCTGCCGGGGGTTTGGCGGGATTGGAGGCATCCTTCGATACCAGCTTGACATGAGATCATTTGATGAACTTTCTGATGATGGAGAAGTCTATGATGATTCTGAATAGCAATCAATCAACTCTACCCCATTACCGGTGCAAGATGATGGGGTTACACACAAAACTTGCACCAGCGCACGAGCTGTCGCGCATAATACTGCTGCTCAGAATGCCCCAAAAGTTTCCCATACTTCTAAATAAGGTTTGGGTTTTGAACTGTTTTATTTTTACTGTGATAAAATTGTTGGTTACTTAACCAAAAAAAGCTAACTTGGTAGGTTGAATTATAGTCAATTTGTTGTAGAGTGTGTGGTGTTGTGTTTTTTGAGGCATTTTTCGGTCATTTGAATGTGTGCGTTGTACAACTGCTCTTCCCTTCCCCATTTTAGTTCCATACTAAATGCCATTATCTGATTTACAGCAGGCTTTATGTGGTGATGTTGCATGGGTGGAATGATGGAGCAGCTAAAATGGTTTGAAGGCATAGCTGGAAAGATTCTTTGAACTTGCTGGGAATTGGATGGAGCTTCCTTTCTACTGTCTTGAACCAGGGCCTTGCATATATTAAGTCTGGAACTTGTTACTCATATGTTTGTGGTTTAACATTGCCTTGGTTACAAGGCTGTGGTTGTCCGGAGCTATTAGGATAGTGTTATGCCCTAGTTGGCTTTGATTGAAGGACTGGCTTGCCTTATTTTATGCTACAGGTGGCTTATCTCCTGGACGTTGTAATTTGTGGCTGCCTGGTATAAGAAGTCTACCTTGTCCTAAGTAGTAACAAGCTAATATATAATCACATTTTCTTAAATAATGAAATAAAATTAAAGTTAAGAAAATTAAATATATTGAGAGTAATTATTTATAAACTACATCATTTTTATCATAAACAAATTGAGATATAATTGATAGATCCTTTCTTCTTTAAAAAATATTTATATTTTGGTGTATAACTTAACATATATTAATATTAATGGTATCGAAAAATTTTATTAATATTAATTTCTCAAATTATATCAATGATATCAGTTTTATTGTAAATAAAATCATTGCTCAGAACATAATGTTAAAAAGGAAATTATTTTATTACAAGATTTTGATTCAATTATTAAGAACAAGGATCATAATTTGTTTCAAATCTTAATTATACTTATGTAAATAATTGTGTATGAGCATATTATATTCGTAAGATAGCATAAAACAAAAATTTAGGTTTTAAAATCATTCAACATATATATGTTTTAGTAATTAACATTAATAGAATTTTTTATTTTTATTCACATGATTATATTGTTGCTCATATAATCTTTAAATTGATCAATATTTTGTTTGCTAATGAAATTATTATTTAATAGATTACATAACCATATTTATTTTTATGGATTATTATACCCTAATTTACCAATCACTCAAATTTTTTATTTTTTCTTGTCCTTATTCCACGCTTTTAATCAATTTCCAACAATAAAATTTAATTATTTTTATAACAAAGACTTTCAAATTTTTGAATAAAAAAATACAAAAAAAAAAGAATAATACAACAAATTAGAGAGTAAAATTACCAAACAAATTTTTGGGAATGCAATGGGAACTCTAAGATGAAATTCATAAGTACTGTGGTGGTGTTAGAGGAAAAAGAGAGAGGTACCCAGGTCTAGAGGAATAAAGCAGGTTGAGGGTGTAGTATTATATTGTTTAAATGATAGTTTTTACATAGAACGCTCGTGGTTTGTGAAGAGGAGAGTTGTTCGAACACTGATTGGGAAAGAAGATCCTATGATTGTGTCATTTGGTGAAAGAGTAGAGTGATGGGGTGTAATGTGGAGGCTAAGGGTTTGTTAGGGGATATTATTACTATGTGGAGAGGTGATTTTTTCATCGAGGAAGAACACCTACTAAACAAAAATTTTATGCTAGTGACCAAAAGAGTCCGTGGTCCAAATAAGCAGTGTGGTTTTATTAATGTATATACACCAAATGATGAAGGACAATAAGTAGTTTTATGGGAACTATCACTAAATGAAATGCACAAAAGGGACGTGTGGTGGTGTGTGGGATGTGATTTTAATTCAATAAAATAAGTGGAAAAAAGGATTAGGAAGATTAAGAATATTAACTCAATTTTCGCATTTGCCAACTTCATGCAAGATACAGCATTGGTGGATTTCCTTATGGTGAAGGATTGTTTTACTTGGCACAATAGGTGTGCAGAGGCAACTTTCTCAAGGTTGGATAGAATTTTGATTGCTAATGATTGGTTAAATTGTTATTCGGATATGTTTCAGAAATGTTTCCCTAGTTCATTGTCTGATCATAATCTTGTAGTATTAGGAGGTGTGAATACTAATTGGGCGTCAAAACCTTTCAAAGCTTTCAATTATTAGATGGAGAATGATAGCTTTCACTCTTTGATAGTGGACAACTGGAAGAAAGCATGGCTGAGACTTGTCGTGGACTTGCAATATGGAAGGGATTAAGAAATTTAAAACTAGTTATTTGAAATTGGCATAAAAGTAAATTTGGGAAGATGGCTCAGAATATTAAAAACTTGGAAGGAGAATTGCATAAAATGGATGTGGAATGATAGATTTCTGAAGGGACTTGATTTGAGAGATGTCGTGATGAAGAAAAGAAGTGAGTTGTGGAGTCTATACCGAATCTAAGAAGAAAAATGGAAACAAAAGTCAAGAAGTAGATGGGTTTGTGAAGGTGGCAGGAATACTAAATATTTTCATGCAATAACTTCTAAGATGAGAAGAATGAATAGAGTGGCCGGTATTACCACATGTGAATAACCAGCATATTGATGACCCTAATTCTATTAGAAAAAAGGTTTTTAAGCATTTTCAAAAGCTTTATAGTTAGAGAAAAGCGTTGAAATTGGAAAACATAAATTGTGGAATTCGTGTTTTATTTAAAGAGACTATGTTTGAATTAGAATCCCTTTTTTTAGAAGATGAGGTGTGGGAGGTTATCGAGGAATGTGATGGGGATAAAGCTCCTAATCCATATGAGTTTAATCTCATGTTCTTCAAATCACAACGGTAAATAGTGAAAAAAGAAGTGATGTGCTTTATGAATGATTTTTTTTCCATACTGGTAAATTAAGGCATGGAGTTAATGAAAGTTTTATTACATTAATTTGTAAGGTGAAAAATCCAAGTAAAGTAATAGAATATAGATGGATCAGTTTAGTGGGATGCCTATATAAAGTAATAGTGAAGGTGTTAGCAAACTGCCTCAAAAAAGTTGTTGGAGAAATTATTGGCAATTACCAATTTGCATTTGTCAAAGGAAAGCAAATTTTAGATGCACAATTTTCAATCCAACTGGTAGTGAACTGTTGACTACTGAAATGAGGAACAACTATTATCTTGGCAAACACTAAACACTTGGCATTGTATAGTGAATGTGATACCTCTGGGCTTTAGCATAGAAGGCTAGGGCCTGTGAATTATAATTCACTATCATACATGTCATCTAATGAACTAGTAGAAGGATTGCCAACAATAGCAAAACCAAAAAGAAAATGCAAAATATGTTAGCTTTGGAAATTGAATAGAAACCTTTTCCTAAGGTAAGTAAGTGGAAGTCTACTTAGAAATTGGAGCTTATCCATAATGATATTAATAGGCCAATGAAAACTCCCTTTTTGAATGGAAGTAGATACTATATTTTGTTCATAAATGATCTTACCAATTACTATTGGGTATATTTTGTGAAGGTGAAGTCAAATGCCTTAAAGCAATTCATGAAGTTTAAGGCACTTACAGAAAACTTTGCAAGCTTAAGTATAAAAATAGTAAGAAGTGATGATGGCACAAAATACACTTCAACTGAATTTAAGAGTTTTTTGATGACTTTTGGAGTTCAACTTAAGCTCACAGTAACATATAACCCTCAGTAGAATGGAAAGTTGGAAAAGAAGAATAGAATAATGGGAGAAATGTAAAGATGCTTGCTATATCAAATGAACTTATCTAAGAAATTTTGGACAGAAGCTATGAATACAGCCAACTACTTGCTTAATAGAGCATATACAAGGGTGCTGAGTTAAAAAACCCTTTATGAGATGTGGTTTGGGCATAAACCAACTATCTCACATTTAAGAACCTTTGGCTATGTATGTTATGCCAAGGTGCAAAAAATAAAGTTTGACTTTCAATCAGTTGTAGCTATGTTTATTGGTCACAGTAAAGTGACTAAAGGCTACAAGCTATATAACATCGAGTCTAATAAGGTATTCATTGAGTAAAGATATGACTTTTGATGAAAGATAAAGTTAGAATTGGAACAAAGGCATTGTAGAAAAATCAAATAAAGTGACTATAGCTGATGAGAATCTTATGAAGGTTACCGATAATGCAGTATCTGATATTGAATATGAATCTTTAGCTGTTAAAGAAACTAGAAATTTGCAAGATGTATACAATAGATGTCATGTAGCTATAATTGAGCTTATAAATTTCACTACTGTAGCGTCAAACGAGAACTGAAAAGCTGCCATGGATGCTAAAAACAAGTATGATCTTGAAAAACAATACCTGGATCCTTGTTGATAGACCTATTGACCAACCTGTGATTGGAGTCAACTAGATCTTCAAAACAAAACTGAATCCAAATGGGACAGTCCACAAGTATAAAGCCAGGTTAGTTGTAAAGGGTTATGCTCAGGTGTATAGTGTCGATTATTTTGAAACATTTACCCTAGTTGCTAGGTATGACACCATCGGACTACTTGTAACACTATCTACAAGAGAAAACTGGAAGATTTTTCACCTAGATGTTAAATCAGCCTTCTTTAATGGTGTATTGTTAGAGAATATATATATATATATATATATATATATATATATATAACAGCTTGAAGGGTATGTGAAGAAAAGCTCAGACGGTAAAGTCTGCAAACTTGTCAACGCTCTTTATGGATTAAAGCAGGTTCCCAAGGCTTGGTATAAGAGAATTTATGAGCATTTTAGAGATCAAGGCTTTATCAAAAATGTGACAGAGCACACGTTATACATAAAAAAATCAAATGACTCTGTGGTGTTAATTATGAGCCTATATGTTGATGATATACTAATAACAAGTCCTGACAAGGCCTATCTAGAAGACTTCAAGACTCAAATGTTAAGTGTGTTTGAGATGACTGATCTAAAACTAATGTCTTACTTCTTGGGAATGGAAATACTGCAATTGCCTACTCAAATTATTCTACATCAGACTAAGTATGAAGGTAACATATTAAAAAAGTTCATAATGGAATCATGCAAAGTTGTGAAAATCCCACTTTTAATTGGGTGTAAGTTGAGCAATGATGATGAGTTTATTAAGGCAGATGGAATACCTCACTAGAGTATCATATGATCTTTATTATACATGTCTACAACAAGGCCAAACCTGATGTTTGCCACTAGTCTTCTCTCCATATTTATGCAGTCACCTTCAACTGAGCATTTTACTGCTACAAAAAGACTTCTTAGGTACATGAAGGGTACAGTGAATTATGTTTTGGTGTATGTGAAGGATAAGAGCAGTGATTTACAAGGTTATTGTGATAATGATTGGACAAGGTTTATTATTGATTCTAAAAGTATAGGACATTTGGTAGTGGTATTTTCTCTTGGAACTCTAAAAAGGAAGAGGTTATGGCTCAATCTTCAATTGAAATTGAGTATATAGCAACTGCTACTTCATCAAATCGTGCCAAATGGTTAAAAAAATTACTATCTGATC